TACTACAGATTTAATATAGAGATTGCATGCTTTTAACATAATTATTAACTAAATGTTATTAATTCTTCTCCCATTTTCGAAAATTCCAGAATTTATTCTAAATGTAATATCGCCGTCTTCCTCCGCGACCCTTTCACTTTTAAAAATCCGCATATAAAATAGTACGACATTTGATTGCTAATAACTCTGATTAACTCCTTTAGTGAATACTACAAATTTAATATAGAGTTTGTATACTTTTAACGTAACTATTAACTAAATTTTATTAAAATTTATTAGATGCCACTCCGACAGTTCCCTTGTAAGAAATGCTTACACTTCTCTTCAGTCTCTTTAGCAGGGGTAATCTAGGCTGATTGATTTTTAGATTTTTTTAACTTTTGGAAGGCTAATCCTTCTCCAAAAATTAAAAGATACAAAAAGACACAAAAGATAAGAAGGTATGGCAAAACACTGTAGCAAATATGAATTAAAAAACTCATGATACAAATCAAGTTAAAATAGAAGCAGAGATAAAATGAGAAGAAACTAAGACTTCATGCTATGCAATGACGTTTCCTGTCATTACATAGCATGAAAGAAGGCCGCCAACAAATCATATATTAGTTTCAGTTAATGAGCATATCACACTTGAAAAAAGAGCAGTTTAAATGACAAAAAATGGTAATATGGACTATTGTATTGGATTGGTTGACAGTGACAGATGCCTTATAACAATGGAACCTGTTATTGCTCATGGATAAGTTCAAACTGTGATAGAAATTCTGCATAAGAGTTTGTTCTGGTCCTGGTGAGTTTCCTTTTCACTGTTCCACTTCCTTCTGTCAGAGTCACAATTCTATCTTCAAAAGGTTCTTTCTCTCAAGTTTTTATTATATTTAGCTTTCTCATTCTCAATTTGAATAACTATATAATGACATCAGTCAACACTAAAATTTCTTGATATTTATATTTCAATTGTTAATATCAAATATCAAAACAACCTAAATGAAACTGACTAAACAATATATTAAATATATTGTTTATATAATATAAATAATATATTTAATATATTGTTTAGTCATTGTTATTTAAACAAAACGACTATTCAAATATTGCTCAAATCTTAGTAATTGTAGTGTTTTGAATAAAGTTGTTTATTATGAATAAATTTACATGTATTGGTCATATGAAATCATAAAGAAGAAAAGAATAATTTTCATGTTTAATCTATAAAAATATTGGATGTTTCAAAAAATAAAAAATGTATATTAACTGTCAAGTATTTTTCATAATAAATTTTTTTTTTGGAAATATATATATATATTTTGTATCATAAATCTTCATTATCAATGAAATTTTCAGTATGTTTATTGCACAAAACCACATTAAGGAGTTATAGCCATGCAATGATAAAGCATTTTACAATTCATTTATATTTTTAACAATTCTGATGAAACATTTGATATTGTATAGTATATTGATGATAATGATGATTAAGCAGAATAATATAGGAAGAACAAAGGAAAAATCCCTTTGGATTATCATTATTCTTTTAGTTAAATATAATTTTCATTGATTTATAAAATATTTTAAACAACAGTTATATTTAAATCACTATCTAATAAATAAATAGTAAGATTTTATCAATAAATATTGTTAATAAAAAATAATAAGTAGGCATAATAATAAATAAATTTCAACTTTTAAAACATTTTTGAACATTTACTTTTTTCTTATCATAATTTCAAAAAATTTACATACGTCTTTAAATTGATTAAGGCAAATGGAATTCCTGTAGGAGTATTGAAGGCTGGAAGTAATTTCTGAGCTATCTGATCAGCTTTTTCTTTAAACATCTAAGTGATAAAATTATGAATTAAGAGTAAGAAATCTTATTAAAATTATACATTAATAATATACTCACGACATCTCCTGTCATTGCATAGCACGAAAGAAGGCCGCCAACAAATCGTATATTAGTTTCAAAAATAGAAATCTCTGAATTCTGTTGGCAAACAAAATTAAAAGTATTTATATTAATTCATATTTGTTTTATTAAAATTAATTCTTTTCAAATAAAAACTTACAGACTGATCTAAACTAAGACTAGTAGCTATCCAATCTCTTCCCATTTTATATTCATCGATAAAGCCCATTATATATAACGTATCCAGCCCGTCGACAATGGTGGCTCCCAATGCCGATTTGCCAAAGATTCCGGCAGAATGACCTCTTTTCGATATAGGACGAAGTTCGTTCTCACCCCAGGCGTAACGAACGTAATTATCCCATGCATGTTTTGTCATCTGTAAAATGAAAATAAATCATTTAATTTATATTCTAAAATTTAGTTTTAATAAAAATTAATATGAATAAATTCACTATCAATGGATTGATAATTTTTAATGTAATAGTAATAAATTCTTTTTAATTAATAACTAATAAATTCTTTTTAATTAATAACTTTTTAATTAATAACTTTTAATAACTAAAACACATATCAAACTTTTAAAAACTGTATTTGAAGTGTTTCTTGTGTGCGTGTGTATATGCTAAGGAGATTTTTGTTAGCTAAACTCCTAGATTTCATAGTGAATTTGAACAGATTAGGTGTCAATAGATAGGGATAGGTCGCAGATGTGCAATAAACTTTTTGTTTTCTTATCTGACAATTTATTCCAGAGATATCAGGTTCAAAAGTTTTGAAATTTCCCTATCATTTTGTGCAGGGAGTCAATAAAAAACTTTTTGCAACAATTCAATTTCAGGTTCACCAACAAGCCATCTGTGTATGTAGTTTACAAAACAATGTGTAGCCCTGACATAAGGCCAACAACAGGATAAAACCTTGCTTTATCCCACAGGTACCAAGTTGCTGCTAATAATACTTATTTCTGCTGATAAGTTTGTTTAAATACTTAAAAATACATATCAATAATATATTAAAAATTAATTAATAATTTAGTGAAGAGGCAATCATTATTCTTCAATTAATAATTAGTTATTATGTAAGATAAATAATTTAAAATAGCCAAATCTTTCAAATTAATAAATGTGTACATTATTACATTTTATTTATTTAAAATAATTACAGTAATAATGAATATGTAACTATCAATTCTTAAATCTACTTTATAGTTTATAATTATGTTAATAACTTACAGACTCTTACTTAAAAATTAACAAATTGTTTATGCTGAAACTCTTGAAACTTACTGCTGAATCATCCATATTTTATTTCTAATTAAGCATATTTAGATATAAATGAATCTAAAAATTGGTATATAAAAAGCACAGATACAGACTATAGTCTGGCAATAACATTCTTAGACCTGCGTATACGTAAATCTTCAGAAGGACCACAATTCTCAGTTCATCACAAATCTAGCATAGCTCTGCACATTATACCAGCAGAGGGCCTTTCAGCCTTCTCAATATGTTAATGCTGCCATTGCCTCCCTTGTCAGAAGGGCTTACTTACTACCCTCTACGCAAGAGCTGGCAAACATCGAGTAAGATAACATCAGTTTAGCAGTACGCACTGCTGGCTTTTCACATGCAAAATTTACAAATGTGCTCAAATAAAGAAAGCACTATTTCCAAGCACTAAGTTATACAATAAGAGGGAGTTTTCGATGGTACAAACATCGTTGCCATACCTTGGACCTCTCTCTATACACATCTGCAGAATCTTTAAGCAGCACAACCTTGTACTACCACTAACCCCACTTCCAAACCTATGCAAACTTATTTGTAACAATAGAGACAAATTTTCCATTCTTGAGAAGTCGGGGGTCTATGCTGTACCTTTGGAAAATCTTGCAACGGGAGTAAACACAAGATATATCGGGGCCACTACCAGAATGCTTGCCAGCCGCCTTGAAGAGCACCAAGATGATGTTGTGAGGGGTAGGCACACCACCGAGCTCAAAAGAAAGGTACTTGAGCAGGGTTACAACCCACTATGGTCTCAAGCAGTTATGCTCAAGAGCTGTAAGGATCGAAAAATCGTTTTCATATGGGAATCTCTCCTTACCACCTTGGACATGCAACACCCCAACACTTGATCTGCCCAGTGTATGGGTCACACTATACAAGCATTTAAGCAAATATTAGCATTCTCCAGTATGCATATAGCATGAGCCTGGTTCTGTGCATGCGCCAACTCGCAATCATGGAGCATACTGCTCATTCGATTTTCGAATTATATTTGAATATTTGTTTCATGTTCTTAATGGCTTTGACAAAAGTTTCAACCTAAAATTTTATATTCTATTCTACATTGGATTATTTCCATTTAATTTTTCAGTAAATCTCTGTATTCACCTGATGATGATGACTATAAGTTCGTCGAAAGTGCTTGCGATAAAAAAAAAAAAAAAACGTACATGTAACGCCGATCTCAGTGTCTTCTCCATTTTAGGTATATTAAATACTTGGATTGGATGTCATGCCGACAGTTGTGTTAATTCAATTAGAAACTTCAGATTAGGAGACATTAAAGAGAACTAAAAGGAATATTTTAATCTTGCAAGCGCTTTCAACGTAAATATATATGTCATCCTCAGGCAATTCAAAATATCTTTTCGATTTTGAATTGCCTGAGGACAACGTTTTCAATTTTGAATTGCCTAAGGATGACGTATATATTTACGTTGAAAGCGCTTGCAAGATTAAAATATTCCTTTTAATTCTCTTTAATGTCTCCTAGTTTGAAGCTTCTCCATTCTATTTTATTAGACTATAGTCCACATTATAAACCAAATAGCAAGAATTTGACATAATTTTTACAGCACAATTTAAACTATAGATGGAAAAAAAGGTCATAAATTCTAACATATACAATGTATGTTAACATATATTAACATATGTTGTATAACATAACATATGTAACATATACAAACAGCACATTAAATATTCAAACAAAATTAAAATTATTAAAAAATTAATTAGTCTTAAAGTAACTAAGAATTCAGCCTTTCATAATATTCTAGCAATTTGAATCAAGTATTAGTTTAATGAATCATATAATTTCATTTTATTTTAATTTTAAATTAATAAAATATATAAATAACTTTTTACAAGTTATTACTTTCATAATCTCGTATAAATATAGTTACGATTTCTTATAATGACTTTCCGCTATGCACGTGATAAAAAGTTAATAATTCATATACTAAATAAGGAATATGAATTAATTATTTTTAAATGATATATTACAATAGCTTTTAAATCTTAATATTACAGTTTATACACAATAGTGTACGAAAACTTGTATTTAATTAATATAAATAAGTTGTAACAAACAAATAATGCGAAACAAAGCCTGTAAACAGAATAGACCACAAATTTTTGCTGTTAAATAAATATTTTTTTAAATAAATGGATATTTCAAAATGTTATCTTTGGGAATATGACAAAGAAACTAGAGTATACAAATTGAAAAAAATCATAGAATAATCTTCAATATGTTAAACATATTTGTATTAATATAGCACAGCACATCATAATAAAAATAATTTTCCTCTCCTCTCCTTTTTTGGTTCAAATAAAAAACTATATATATATTTTTTTAACAAATGATATCCTGTTAAAGCATTTACTTTCATTTGTCTTGTAAATTCTGACTGACTGATAAAATTTAATCAAATTTAAATTCGAAATTTAAAATTCTGAAAGCACAATCATTTACTTAGAAAATGCTATAATTTTTTTTAAATTCTAAGGAAAAGAAACATTAAATATAGCCCTTAGAAGAACATATTGAGTTATTTAAAAGTAACAGGAGAATTTGATCAAAGTATATTTGCTATCTTATTAATTTATTAAAAGTTTTATTATTCAATAAAGATTTAATAATCTATATTTTTTACTTTTAATATAAAAATGATTGCATTTTAATTTCTTTCTATTTAATTCACATTTGAAAATGTCTCATTCCGAAATGTATTTTAAAAAACAAAAAAATTTATTAAGTATTTTTTAATAGATAAAACAGAAATTTTTGTCATAAAATCGACAAAAATTAGCTTTAATTTTAACCAATTTCATTTTGCCTATGAAGTACAGTACATATGCTATTTAATGAAGGGGAATAATTATTACAAACAAGTCTTATATAACGTTGCATCATTTAAATTTCATTTTTATAAAATAAAAGAACGTTTCTGGCCATCGTTTTGGCTGGGTAAAAAGTTATTTCCCCCCTTATTCAATGCCAAATGGTGGGAAAATATTTCATTTATAATTTATAATGAAAACAACACGATGACGACGGTGACCTACTTAAAAAGCGCGTACAACTCGCATAGCGCTTCAATATCTGTAGTACAGATGTTTCGAAGGTCATGTGCCGACCTCTTAAAAGTCATAAAACATTGTTGAACGACCGCAGCTTTCTAGTTTCGATGCTGCTGAGTATCTCTTCTGCGATAAACATTCTTCGAATATTTATGTTAATAAATATCTAATTAGAAAAATATTAATATCGATAAACTCCGTAATAACGTGTGAGAGTGATCACTTTATCGTGTGAAAGTAAGTCCTAGACCTTTCAGATCCAGATGTTAGAAAAAACGTCGATGTAAGATGATAAAGTAATCATAAAATGCAATATAAATATTACAGAAACAACAGTAAATTGTCTGACTAACAAATATTTATCTGTTTATGGACATCTTAAATTTATTTACAGAAAATTTATGTTGAAATTCGTAATTTTTACTTTATAAAAGTTTTTCCATTAAATTAATTTTAATTAATTTAATCGACATAATTATCAATTTAATGGGTAGATTATATCTTGGATAGGTTTGGTTTTATTCGTGTACTGCAACGCGACATGTTGGTGATCTTCCGTGGGGGAATGCCTCCCGGAAGGTTATTTTTTAATGGGGAAACTGGTCCCTATTTAGATGTTACTAACGTGAAAAAACCCGGAAAACTCCACGTGGCCGACCCGTTGGTAAACGCGAACACGTGACCAACAATAATTATAACGTATATTCAATTTTGCCTCTCTCCTCTGTACACTGAGGCTTTTTTTCCATACGCGTTGTGAGTTCGCCAGGCCCACATTAGAGGCGCCCTGCAATGAGGGACCGAGCCCGAATTATCCTCAATAGACCACCCGAAAGATTCCTGAAGATTTTCGAGGTTCGTCCGGATTCCCAGAGCGGTAGGAAGACTCCTTAACTATGGCTAATATGAGAAAATATGGCTAAAATACTTCCTAGAAAATTGACACTTAAGACTTGTATAACACTGCAGAAAGTAGAAATCAAATCAACACTCAAATTATATACTGCATAACGTTATTATACAGTAAACTCCTCTAACTCGGACAAATTTTTTCGAAACAGTAATTTAAAATCTGTTGACAATAGAAAAATTATAATTAACCAGTGTTTTCAATATCCAGAAAGCTTGCTACTGTAGTTGGTAAGTTACCTTGCCAAATTATTAGACCCATTGACTAAAATCATACTTTTTGTACTATTTTCTTCTCTTTTTTCTTAATATTGATTAAGGAATGAGTTTTTTTAATGTTATTCTTATTCTCTATTATATCACAAACACTTCTAATAATTTTTTATATGACAACATGTAATATAAAAAAAATCAAGTTTCTACTACAAAAAGAGAACTGGTAGAGGTTCTTATTAAAGTATAGCACCATAGCCCAATGATGAGAACAAAAATAAAAATAAAATAAATGTATAAATAGTAGTATTCCTTGTCATATAAACGCACTACTGACTGTTAGGGGTGCAATACAAAATACTACTTTTCATTTTAAAAGACAAAATAAACATATTTTAAATAATTCTAACAATAACTGCATTATCATTGATTTATTACATCAATAATAATGCAATTTAATTAAGAAAGTGTCGATTTTTTGCATGGGTATAATAATTTGGCAAGGTGCTGTAAATTGCTGTATAATGTACTGTCACGAGTTCATTTTCTGCAATGATAAATTCAGCAGTATAACTACAAAAATTGAGTAAAAATTCTGTACGGAGCCGATCGTATTAAATTACTGTACAATACTGTTTATTCACCTTGTTCAGAAAATACCTGACTAACTGGGACAACCTTCATACCCTATTATACGAGTTAGAGAGGGTTTACAGTATATTGAATAAATTATTATTTGAGCGCGTTAGAACTTTACGACTTTTGAAACACAGATGTAATACGAATAACGAGAATGACAATTAGAAACTGACGTATTCAAAATGGAGGGGAGGGGAAAAGTTTAGTATATATTTCCATTATTTCCTCATATAAATCACGCTATAAAACGTTAAAATACGGAAATGAAAAATTACAATATTAATAGCTTTCGAGAATAAAAATAATCCTCCTAAAAACTAAACTAGTTGATAAGATTAAAAAAAAAATAGTTGAAATTAGTTTTAAAAAGATTAAATATATTCAATATTGCATTTAATATTCTCTGATGACAGATGATTACAAGTAATGCTGAAAGGTTGGGTAATTTTTTCTGGCTGCTTAACCGAATTGCATGCACATTTGCAATACTGATTTTAAACTGTTTTAATTATATAATCGCCTACAAAAATAAGAGGAAAAAATTCATTTTTCTAGTTATACCTTATGGCAATTTGTGAAAATTTGCTCTCTCGTTTTTAAATTCTACTAATTAATTCTAAAATGGCAACTATTGCATTGCGGTTGCTACATTCCTGAAATAAGCGTGTAAATCAAGATTCGTGCAAAAATTACGTCACAAATATGCATTAACATTCGAGAGATGTATTCTGTGAACGTGTATAGTCAAATTTAAACATCTTGTCGATTTATTTGATACAAATTAATTAAAATTCGGAAAATTTACTTAATAATTGCGATAATGGAATAAAATTAAAGAAAATCTGTAACGAAAATATGCGTTAATTGCGTAAGAAAATCGTTTTTTTCAAATTTAATTACAAATTTACCTGTATTGTACATTACAATAAATTTTATGTTGTATGTAAAGTACTGTACTTAACTCAAGAAATCGGAAAATTGTATGAACGTAAGAGTTAATCTTGCATAAGTCATGTTCACGGAGGATTTTTGTCCCATCCTGCATGAATATAAATAGTTCGTTATTTAATTTTTAAACACAGAATTCTATTGACTTTTTTACACTATTTTTAAATAATACGCATGTAAAAACCGCGTAATTGGCGATTACACTATAATCTATTGACTATTGGCGATTCCTTATTACTAAAAAATTTTATTTATTTGCTTAATTAATTAATAAAGCCAAGAAGCGGTTAGTCGTGGAATCGATTCAAAGTTACTGAATATATTTTTTAAAATAATTCTAGAATTCCTTTTATATTTTTATAGTTTCAAACTCTATCAAAGTATTTTAAAAAGCTACGTGGTAATTTGATAGTGACAGTTTTTATTATTATTTTTTCTTCACTTTATTCCTCTTCGTTTTATTTAATTATATGTGCAAATAAATACGGCAGGTTTTTATTTTTACTTTTACGTGTATAACAGCCGTTCACGTTATTTAGCTTTCAAAAAATTGTGCCACCTCTTTCCCGTCAAGCTTCCCATAAAGTCCGGAATTAACTCTTAATATTAAGTCAACCCTATTGCACATATACCACAATTCTCCAATATTAAAACTTTAACAGCATCGATAAAATCCAATCTTACACCTATATCATATACGGCTGAATGGTCGAGACGGTTAAGCGTCAGCCTACCGCTCTGGCGATCCGGGATCGAGTCCAGACAGGACGAAAAAAAACCTCAGGAAAAAATTCCCACACACCCCATCGAGAGACTAGCCGAACACATAATGGACCTGCTAAAAAGAGGTCCTCTTAGTGCCTACAGGGTGAAGAGCTTAAAAAAAACTTATGTATTATGTCCGTTTATACATGGCTAAAAAATCATTAACAAATTTTTAAATTTCGTGCAAAACACGAGAATCTATCGTAAAAAGTTTAAGAAACACTAACCTAGGTAGGCTTTTTTTTTAATCAATTTTGTGCCTACACTTTTTTACAATCTAATTTAGCTAATGCTTTTTAATATCCAAACTTGTATCTTATAAGTTCTTAAAGCTTTTACACTCTTAAGTTATGATCTTTTAAAAGTACTGTTACAAAATACAAATTATTATTATTTATTCGAATAAATATCAAATTACAAAGCGTTTGATCTTTAAAAATTACGTGAAATTAATATAAGTTCGAAATAGTGTTGAACAATAAATTGCTACGTTATTTAATTGTAAATTTATAAAACTACGTCTCGTAAATCTTTTTCTGAAGGCATTTTAGGTGTCTTTCACTTCAAGTGTAGATGGTAAGAAAGTGGTCTGAAAATGAAAACTAATTATAAAATATACATTAAAATAATTAAAACTTAACGGTACGATTTACCATTTTTTTCAATTTTTATTGTTGATGATGATTTTTATTTTCGTTATTTTTTATGACTAGGGCAATTATGATCGCCATATTGTGAAACCCTACAATGAGGAATCTTTCCTCTACTTAAAATTTTAATCTACAAAACTCTTTAAACAATAAAAAAAATCCATCAAAAATGTATTCAATTAAAAATATTTACAGTATTCAATAATAACAATTTTTTAATCTAACGTGAAAAAGTGTAGGCAAATATTAGCAAATACCCATTAATCCGGAGTAGTTGAATTGCATACAAGTATAGAAAAATGGTTCCTGTACTTGCAGCTATTATTCTAACTTTAAATATTTGAATATTTAAAATCAGAATAATAGCTGCAAGATTTACCTATTGTTCTGAAGGATTAGATTTAAATCCGGCCTGATAATTCTAATTTTCCATTACTGTATTCTCCTATCTTCTATTCTGCTGTCAGACCTGCCAAAACTGACACTGTCTGATTATATAATGTATTGGGGACTTGTCTTGAAGGATAAAAACATTGTATAAGAAATTAATATATAAGACATGTATAAGAAATTAATAACTGTAATTACTGTATTTTCAATTTCTTTGTATATCTTAATTATTATTATTCTTAATTAGAATATGTTACAATGAATAAAATGTATTTCTAGTGAATTTTTATTATGATCTCTTTAATAACAAATGATTATAGTCTTGATAATGTTCTAAATTGATGAAGGACATTACAATATTTTAGAACATTTAAAATTTTATCATCAACTTTATGTCTAGATAGCCTTGTTTATAAAAAGAAAAACAAATTATTCAACAATTTGCATTCAACATAAATATTGTAACCTACCTGTTCCACATTTTTTCACAAGTAAACAATCTCTCTTCAATAATATAAATATTATTCTTGAATACATCTAATAGAACAGCTTCTATACAGTATTTTTATTTGGCAGGTTATTTTAGCTACCAAATTAATGTAAATTCAATCGATTATGAGCAAATATGTGGTTTATTATTACAGTTTGAAAATTCATAAAACAACAGGATTCAATTCTATGATGTTTTAATTTTATATTTAATCTTAAAATCACTGTAAAGCTCCAAGTATGTTTTTTAAATAGGTTTACTTAAATTCATAGTTAAAACAATTCAACAAATATAAATCTGAAGGCTATTAGATACATTAAAAATATATACTAGACTCTCTAATACTCATATATTCACATTGTATCATTGAAGAAGACACACGCATATATTGGCATATATTTTTAATATTAAAAAATGTGGAACAAGCAAGTTATTATATTTATGTAGAATGCAAATTATTAAATAAACTCTGCTTATCTATCTACATAATTTTTGTTTATTTATAATAGTGATAAAGTTATAAATATTACTTTTCTATTTCTATATTTTTATTCAAAATGTGAATACAATACAGAACTGGGAACAGTACTCGTATTTGTGGTTTTGCCTAGTGACAAGTAAATTCGGAGACAAGTAAATTCAACTTACATCATTTTTTGACTTGTCGCCTCTCCTGGAACAAATTACCGATGTAAGGCGAGGTATATCTGTATTTTACAATATTTAAACAAGAATAGCATTTTACATTTAGATTTAGTTTGTTACTTTATTTTTTTATTTATTTCTGTTATTCTTTTTTGTGAGCTGATTCCTGATTGATATCTCAGAAATTAATGTCTTGAATACTAATTTACCTAATTAACTGATTAAAAGTAGGAGAAATGAATTCCACTAATGTAAAAATTATAAATAAAAATACAATGATTTTCTCATATATTATAAACAAAGTTTCTGATTTATAAAAATTTTTTGTAATTCAGAATAACGTCTTATTAGTACTGATAACAAAAATATTGTAAAGCTGATAAACATGCTGAATGTCATAACCTCAATGCATATAATAGTAAAGAGAGAAAGTATGCTGGTTTAAATAGGGCTGATAGGATTGGATTTTAGAAAAAAGTCAGTTGGATTTAGACATTTTTCTGGGAATAACATTCTTTAGTTCTACTAAAGATGCATTTAATTGTTGCTTTTTTATTTTCAGCTGCAGGATAACTGTATCTTTATTTCTTGTTAGTCATTTTCTCTGGCATGGAAAGTTTTCTCATTTCTCAAACTAAGAATAAGGAAAATGCTGTACCTCTTCAAGAAACCTGTTCTAGTACAGTGGGTGATCGGTTAACGAACATAATCCGTTCCAAGACTTTGTTCGCTATCCGAATTGTTCGTTAACCGATTATCGATTTACCATAGGTTTCTATGGGAATTTGATTAATTCGTTCTGGAGACCCCCAAAAATAAAAAAAGTATATACTTTTTTACTACGTTTATTCATATGTAATAATAAAAATACATATATACACGGTCTTGCATTTTTATTAGTCATGTTTTTTCTGTTTGTGGGGGTTAAAGAATCTATCCAATGTCGATTGCTTTTCTGTCTTATTCATGATTTTTCAGAAGTAATTAATAGCATTGTAATTGTAGAGATCCCTAGGCCTATTAACCTCAACTTGGTTTGGATGCCATTTTAAGACCGTTGTTCTGACATCTTCCTACTTCAAAAGATCTTTAATAGCAGATATCGGCATAAATCCGCATTTTCAGAAGAAAACGTAAAAGAATTGTTTCTGTCAGAAATACAAAAGGCTGGAATTACAAGGGACAGTTTCAAAGTTTGGGGGAATACTATCCGATCAGTATATACTGGGTAGAACGTCGATGTCGATGTCTCCCGCGCTCCGAAAAGTTTTGAATTGTTGCCTGAAGACAAAGGAAGACCAATCAGTATTCGTTATTTTACGTCGCTTCTTGTGTTTGTTCAGTGAAGTGTTCGTTATCTGAACATATGTTCGTTGTCCGATCATAAAAATTTTTCGCGAAAGTGTTCGTTATCCGATTTGTTCGTTAACCGATCACCCACTGTATTTAGTTTGCTCTAGTTTTTTTGAAAAGAAGACACTCAAAGTTGTCTGTGCAAGTTTATTCCTGCCTGTTCTATTTTTTCCTCATGCATCATAAGATATGCAATACCAAAACTGCAATATCTTGTTATTATGTAACTTTGAGGCTCTATGGAAGGTCATTTCACAAATTTTGGCCAGAAGCTACACTTTTTCAAGCAGGGCTCTGGAGTATTTAAAGAATATGAATGTTGTGCTCTAATATCTGCTAAGAATAATCAATACAATACAAATCTCCCTTATGTCTTCTAGAGATAGTTTAATAGAAACAAAACATTTTTGGCATAGCTTACGGGCCTGTGTCAGGTTCTACACATTCAAATTAAACAGTTTACTGAGTGTTCCAAGATTGTAATGTTCCAACATTTAAACTGACTTTTTTAAAAAGCTTTTTTTTTCTTTTTAAATCAAGTAATCTAATGCATTGAATTAAATAAAAAATGACATGTTGCTAAGACATGCTTTATGTCTTATTAGATTTGTTTAATCTATACCTTTTATATATCAGATAGTCATCCTCACTATTGTGCATCATGGCAACTTAGCCAAGATTTGTGAAATGAACTGAAAATGTTAGGTGAAGAAACAGTAAAGTTGTGAGTTTAAACTCTTAGAACAAAACTTGATATCTTGCATTCATTCATGGCCATTTATAGCAGTGGTCCCCAACCCCCGGGCCGCGAACCAGTACTGGTCCATGGATCAAATGGTACTGGGCCGCCCAAGGAACATTAAATTACTGGTATTTCCATTTTATTTACTATGGTGTATTTCTCTCGGGTTTGTCCGACTTTTAATGGATGACGGAACAACAGTATAAACTGGACATAAGAAACACACTTCAGGTGTCATTGTCTCCTATTACCCCCAGATGGAACCGTCTTGTTGCAAAGAAACAAGCTCAGGGTTCTCATTGATTTAACTTTCTAGTGAGTTAAAATGTTAACTCACATTATATTCATTTTTTGGTGTAACTATATTTTATTTTGAAGGCATGTTTAAATACAATTAAATTAAAATTATTAAATTAAATCAATCTAAAATATAAACAATCAACGTCCCCACTCAGTGGGCTGCGGTAAATATCAAACGTTGACCAGTCCACGGCGATAAAAAAGTTGGGGATCGCTGATTTATAACACCAAATTCCTACTATACAATGTCAATTTTGATCTATTCAAGGAATTTGTGAAACAGATCAAATAAAATAGTTTTCTTCTAGCAAAAGCCCACTGATTCACCTGATGATATGAAGAGAAAGTGTTCCTTATCATCCTATATTTTTGGATGAAATCATCTGAAAGCACCATCTTTTTCAGTCAGTTCTACTGTCATCCTTTTATTCTTCATCCTCAATCTTCACCAACTGCCAAATATTTGTTCATATAATCAAAAAAATAGATTATTAATTAAACTTTAAACCAATTCTGTTAACTAAACAGTTATGGTAATATAAATCAATGCACTTTACAGACTTCAAAACCTTATGGCAGTTGATATGAGAAGTTTTATTTTGTAAATATCTGCTGTTAAATGTTTTTCACGTTAACATATGTAACATAACATTTGAATTGGATATTTAAACGATGATAAATTGTAATTATTATTATTTTTGAATTTGTTTCAAAACATTCTGTACAACAAGGTTTTCAGTCACTTTTTCTTTGCTCATTGACAAATTCAAGATAAAGTATTACTTTTTCAGTACATAGTTATTCTTTTATAAAGGCTATTCTCAATACATTAAAGTCAACAGATTATGAACTCAGTATGAGAAGACTTACTCTTTAGGGAGGTGTTACTTTATTATGATAGTAACTCTTGCTAATAACAAGAGCTACTGTCATGATAAACTGAAATCATTTGGTTGTTGTTTCAGAAGTTTGTCTTTTTCTGGCAAAGAAAAACTCCTGTAACAATGACACAACAAGAAGCAAAGCAAAAAGTGAGGCTCAAATTATAAGTCATAACATACTTCCAAATAAATGGGCATAGACATGTCATCATAAATGATGAAACTATTTATACAGCTGATTCTTCAAAAACTCCAGATAACATACCAAAAAAGTAAAATTTCTTAAAAAAAATTCTGTTTGGATTGACATCAGCAAAGAAAAATAAAAAAGGTTATTGTAAGCCATATT